ATATATCAATTTTCCAGCTTAAGGAAGCAAGCAGCAAAATTTCAAATGTTATTTTCTACAACTTATGTATGTGAATAGTTTTTCCACAAAGAATTTAGCAAGAATTAAAACAAAAAACCGACTAACAGACACATCGAAACTAATTTAAAGCTAGTAGTGACCAATATTTAACCAAATATTTCCGATATATTATGTTTATATCAGTTCCAGAAGCTAAATTAAGTATACATATGCTAGTTTATAATTATATATAAATAAGTAATTTGTGATTTACCGACATTTCTCCCCTCTTTTCTCTTGTATGCGGCCCACGTCGGTTCAAGTTTTGAAATGCGGCCCTTACATAGAAAAAGATTGCCCATCCCTGCCTCAAGACATGGTTCTTCAGAATCTAGCAATGATGAAGAACAATATCTTATGGAGTGGCTAGTCCGAACTTTAACACCTAGTGCCGGAACAATGTGTTTGAAGGATTTTTAATTAAATGAATGATTTACAGACTGCAACTTAAGGCCCAACGAATCTGGCATTAGGTGATTAACTTGACTATTAATAAAATATACAACGCGTGTTAATAATTTGTACTCGTAGATCCGTGTTAAACATTGCGGTAAAATGCTTTATCCGACACGACTGAGAAGTGGGAGTCCGGTGCATTTTCTGCCACCGGAATTTGTAAAGGAAGAGCAGAAAAACTTTTGACGGTCGCAACATTTATTACAAATGGCTTGGGTTATGAAAAAATAGGAATATAAACAATCTGCTTTGGTGGAATGTCTGGTTACACAATCCCGTCATTTTTATAGAAAACTTCGACGTATTTCCCCGGTATAAAAATAAAAAAAGGTCCCATTCATAATCTAAGCCACCTCGGGATTTGACGACCGTCATCAGTCTTCCCCCGACCCGGTTCCCCTCTTCAGCTTTCTTAGCCTCGGAGAACGTCTCGGCGATTTGTCTGTTTGAGAAAATAAGAAAAATTTATTAGTTTCTATCCATACGCTTATCTAAATGTAGATCACTTAAAACTTAAATTTACATCCAATACCACAAAGTTTAAATCAAATTCATATTGAATTTATGTTTGTTCTGTATACCGTTGTTAGATTATGTAATGTAAAGTAGTTTGTACTTGAAGACGACCGAAAATATTTTAAAATTGAATATTTGGTAACTTTAACATGCAAAATTTATAGATATATTATATATATATGGGCATCACCAATCTTTTTGGGGTATTTCACCAGCCCATAAAAAACACTGAATACAAAGTTTCCCTGTACTAAAATAACTTGATTCTGGTTTGGACCAGAAGTTCGTATATAAGCTTTCCATATCTGCTCTCGACTTTCATCTATATAACTGTTCTGGAGATTTAAGGAAAGATGGGTGGATGATAGATGCCGATGGGAATTTACAGGTCTACAATTTTTCAAATACTACCTTGATTAATAAAGAAAAATCTATTCAAAAAGAATAATAAGTCTTCATTCAAGAACAAATAACAAAAAAATTTTTTTTATGAAAATTGGATAACTAACTGGTGATTTAAAAAAAAATAAATTGACAATTTTTGCATATAACTGAAAGCCAACACCAAACCAAAAATAAAAGTGTATGGGGAAACTTTGTATTCCATGTTTCCTATCAGATGGCAAAACATCTCTCAAAAAAGATTGCAGTCACCATGTATATGGGGATGAAAATATGAAATGGCAACAAACACCATTTCTGTATTATATATTACATTTGATGATGATAATGATAATATGAAGCATTCTTATTTTAATATATAAAATTGTTTTCATTATATTGTTTGTCCTAGTCCAAATTTGTCATTCCAAATCTTTCAAACATAATGTGTACATATAAAATTTAATTTAATTTTGTTATCTTAATAGCAATGACTTCTTATAGATCTTTATATTTTCATCTGACAGCAGAAACATTTTATTGCATAACTTTGTTTTCAGACATTAGATTTATTCGTAATCTAATGAATTTCTTTACGGAAAGAAATTCATTAGATTAGCATGTATAAATATATGAAGATTACAAAGTCATCGCATGTAAATAGAAATTATTTCTGTTTCGTTGTTTTGAGTGGTTCTATCTTATGTGTGTGTGTGGTGAAAGAGAATCCGGAAAGCATTAATAGGCAATAAACTGAATTTCTCTCTTGCCGAGACAAATGATTTGATCTGGTATTAGAAAATATATTTTCATCGTAATTGTGTTTAGGTTTTCCCACAGCATCCATGCAAGTTTATACTTTGACTAAATAATAAAGCCAAATTGCTGAATTTGTTGATGCTGACAATGAAACGTAATAAAGATATATATGAATTTTTAATTGATGTCTCAAAATTTAAACCTTTCCAAACACAACTAAAAAAAAAAAAAAAAAAAATTATCTTAAGCAACATTAAAAGCCTATAAACTTTTTGATAAACTTCCCATCCAGAATACAGTCAATCCCCCTATAACACTGTTCATTTTTCCATTTTATATGAATTCCATGTTGTACGAGTCACTTATATTTTACAAATACGTGAGCCGTTCACAGCCCATGTATTTGTAAAATTTAAGTGACTCGTACAACATGGAATTCATATAAAATGAAAAAATGAACAGTGTTATAGGGGGAGGTCGACTGTATTAATTTGTCTTAGGCATCATTGCGGTCAGTCACTGAACACACTGTGCATTTGTTCAAATGTTACACCTAGTGTGTCAATGGCTGATTGCAACTGTTTCCAGTGATGCTTCACACATGCATGTAGCTGTCCTTTAAGTCTGCCAACATTGCTGTTCATATTATATTTCTCTGCTTGCAGTGTCATTTATCCTGTAGTGGACAGTTTTGAAACTAAAATTTTTCTTTCCAAAATCCTTTGACACCAAAATATGTGTACATGCAAAGAATACAACTGATAATCTATTGAAAAATAGATTATCAGTTGTAGCTACAGAATCCTCTGAACAAAAAACTTTAATTAGGATCACCTGGTATATTTTATACTAGATGAAATGATAGTAATGAAGTGTTATAGTTTGGATCTTACACTTGGTCCATTGGTTGCACTAGTTTGCCTGTGTTTTGTGTTGCACTGTTGGTAAAAATATATCATCTGGAAAAACATATCATACAACATTGATGCAGTCTTTTAGTTAATGATCAGGCATCATATATCATAAGTGCAGGATCTTCTTTAGAGCTAATGTACCCTAACCTTAAGCATGTTGCCTGTTTAGACCATGTCATCTATAGGCTGTGCAATATAATTTGCACAAAATATGATGAAGTTAACTAATGCATTTTGCTGATTAAATGTCCCTTTAGCATCCAAACCCACAATGGGTCTGGATGGATCTGCTGTTTCCATTGTGGATGACCCAGACCCACAATGGGTCTGGGTCATCCACAATGGAAACAGCAGATCTAAACCATCAGTTTCTACTGTGAGAACTGTACAAAAATTAGACAATTTATATTATCATTATTTGTGTAGTTTATTTGTTACAGTGTCCTTTATGATTTCCTGATATAGTTTCCAATTTATAGATAGGTAATCAGAAAAGACTGACAGATATGAGTCTGAAAACAAAATGGTTGACAACAGAGATTAGGAATCCAAATTACAATGTTCATTTCATTAAACTGAAAAGAGTCAACTACTTTGAACAATGGCAGAATAACTGAAAAAGTTCTGCCATTCAAAATTAAAATGAAGTATGCACCCCTTGTACAGGGGCAGACATTTTATGCATGCAAACTTTCTTTCAGACAAATGATTGAAACTTACATTCACTATTCTATATTTTTGAATGTTTCAGGACAATGCATTTGTTTTGTGACTGTTTTTTCTTAAAAAATCAGAATAATGTAAAGTAAACTTTAGGTGCTATTAGTTTTGAAAGCAATTCATTTGACCTATTTTTGTACCTACAAATCTGTCCCATAAATATAACCAAGGAATCTCAAGGAAAAAAAACTGTCAAAAATTCCAACTTACTCAGTTCGTTTAATGTATTCTTCGGCAACCAGTCATAATCAACGTCGTTGGCATTCTGAGTGCCCATTTCTATTTTTGGTTTCTGCATGGGTCTCTTCTTCTACAAAATAAAAATAAGATCAATTTAACATTTTATCGACGAATGAATAAAACCAAGACACTTTCGTACCAAGTAAGTAGCGAGAAAATGTTGACCCCCGACCAACAGGAGTACGCCAAAAGCTGCTAAAAATAGGTACAGGAAAAATCTAAAAAGAAAAAATAAATTTAGTTTTTTTAATAGAAATGTTTGTCTCTAGCAGTAAATTTATTCATGTTTATTACATAGCGCCAATAAAATTTGAAATAATTTAATTTGAAAGTTCTTCTGATCGAATTTAAACTAATGACAAAATGTACTTACGTCTCACCATCCAAGCCCTCGTCAATTTCAATGATATTCACGGTCTCGTTAAAAACGGCATCGAGATATTGATTTCCATCCTAAACAGAAGACAAAAATATATAACAATCGAATAGATACCAATCGAGAAGCTTGTATAAGAAAAAGCACCATACCACATCTCTGTACAGTAGATTGACGGTCAATCCGAACGGCCTGGCACTAAACGACTCGCTGGTGTAGAAACTGTAGTAAAGCGTGACCTGTTGTTTGGGTTTCACAGGACGGTTGTAAGAAAGTGTGGTAAACTGTTAAAGAAAACATTATATTTGCTTTAACTGAATAAGAATAAAAAAGTTTGACGTCAAATGTTGTCTTTGGCTATTTTTAAAGTAAAAAAAATTAAAACTGAAATGTTTTATTTTCCTTTACTTTGAAAAATCAATATCATGCCATATCATACGTGAATATTTTATTTTTTCCGTGCTTTTAGTAAATTGAATAGTAAGAACAGCATTGATAAAACATGTACAGATAAAGAATACAGATTAAAATATTTGAGTTAACTGAAAGATTTTCTATACATTGTTATTTTATAATGTTATGAAAACCAGGATGAAAACATTTCCCAGCAACAAAATGGAATAGACTATAGTACTAACATTTTTCTATCACATACCTCAGAAGAAACATTAAGCCAAGCTTGGAAGTGCTAGAGCATTTATTTATTTTTGTTTAAAATTTTTATGCTTCATTAAAGCATTTTCCATTCAATTAAATATGTATATAGAATCTCATTTTATGATACCAAATCTGTGACACACAAAGAGCTCAAGTTACATACTACTGTATATTATTATAAAATAGTTAAGA